TTTTGCAATTGTAGGTCTATTTCAGTAACTATCAAAATAATCATTTCAATTACTACTGAAATCTTTATTTCAATCGCTATCGAAATCTTTATTTCAATAGTGAACTTATTATTTAACACAATGAGTGAACTTATAGTGAACTTATTTCGGTAGTGGTTGCAGCCTGGTTTAGGTTTTTAAATGCATTCAAAACCTCTATTGAAATCATTGTTTCATTAGTGAACGTTATTTTAATAGTGGTTCCAATCTGTATTCGGTTTTGAAATGCATTTTAAACCACTATTGAAATAATTATTTCAATAATGAACGTTATTTCAATAGTGGTTACAACCTTTGTTTGCACTCTCAACCACTATTGAAATAATTATTTCAACAGTGAATGTTATTTTAATAGTGGTTCCAACCTGTGTTTGGTTTTGAAATGCACTCTCAACCACTATTGAAATAATTATTTCAATAGTGAACGTTATTTCAATAGTGGTTACAACCTGTGTTTGGTTGTGAAATGCACTCTAAACCACTACTGAAATAATTATTTCAATAGTGGTCGTTATTTCAATAGTGGTTGCAACACACGGGTCTTTCGGATGAGACCTTTAAAACCAAGGTCCGTGTCACGGTGGGCGTTGGCAAGGTAAAGATTCCTCACTGCCATGCACGGTCAAAATGTGTGGCTTTTTACTTTAAGCAGGTGGCGTCTCTATATGAGTGAAAAATTCTCGAATGGGACGTTAAACAACATACAATCAATCGAAGAATTTTGTGTTTCTTTTCTTTTTTTTTCCTTTTTTAATATTAATATAATTACATTAATATGAAGCATCTTCGAGGGGAAAAAAGATTTATATGTACAAATTTTCATAAACTTTTGGAAGTCATCGTGATTTTTTGTGTATTCAGTAAAAACAAACACATGTTTATAACCCCAAGCCGGCTCATTTGATCAGTTTTTATTATTCGCCATATGACAAATCCACCAACTTATAGATCTGTGATGCACGTGATTATGTCTCCTTATTCGAAGATTCAGAGCATATTAGTTTTTGGTCTGTCTGTTTTAACATTGCCCATTATTTTTGACTAGTTGGAACTACGACTTTCATACTTTTACATGTATTTTCTTTGTTACAAGACCTTGGGTACCAACATTTTTTACTTTGACCTTGGAGTATGACCTACTTTTAAAATACTTTAACCTTGGCCATACTTTTTGAACGGTTGGTGCTAGGGCTTACATATTTCACATGTGTATTACATGTGAAATTAATTTCTCTTGGATACCAATGTTTTTTAAAACTTGACCTTGGAGTTTGAGCAACTTTTTAAAACAAGCGCCCCATGGACCACAACGCTCACCTGAGACATTATGGCCTTGCTGTACTTCATCAGCAGATTTCTTCTCTTATGTATTCATACGTAAAGCTTTGATCACCTGTTCTAGCCACCCCCTACCCCAGGGTGTCATGCTCTGAACTTGAATCTAAACTATCTGAGAATGCTTCCATATTCATATGACTAACTATGGCTTTGCTTTTCTTTTAAATAGAAAGTTAAAGATGTCTGCCACCCTACCCTTCCGGGGGGTGGGTCATGAATTGAACAAACTTGAATCTACACTACCTCGGGATGCTTCCATATCAATATCACTAATAATGGATTTCTTTTCTTGTTCTTGAGAAAAAGATTTTTTCCTATATACATGTATGTTCATTTGTAAAACTTTGATCCCCCATTATGGCCCCACCCTACTACTGGAGGATAACTTGAACAGACTTGAATCTACAACACTTGGGGGTGCTTCCTTATCAATATGACTAATCATGGCTTTGTTGTTCTTGAGAAGATTTTTAAAAGATATTTATGCCCCCGGATCGAAAGATCCCGGGGGTATATTGTTTTTGTCCTGTCTGTCTGTTTGTCTGTTTATCTGTTTGTCTGTTTATCTGTTTGTCTGTCTGTCTGTTGTCAACTTTAACCTTGCCCATAACTTTTGATTGGTTGGACCTATGACTTTCATATTTCACATGTGTATTCCTTGTGACAAGACCTTTCTTTGGGTACCATCATATTTGACCTTTTGACCTTGACCTTTGAGTTTGACCCACTTTTGCAAAATTTTATGAGACTTTCTCTGTGACAAGGCCTTCCTCTGGATACCAACAACTTTGACCTTTTGACCTTGACCTTAGAGTTTGACCTACTTTTGAAAACTTTAACCTTGGCCATAACTTTTGAACAGTTGGTGCTTGGGGTTTAAAACTTCACATGTGTATTCCTTGTGACAAGATCTTCCTCTGGATATCAACCTCTTTGACCCTTTGACCTTGACCTAGGAGTTTGACCTACTTTTGAAAAAATTTAACCTTGGCCATAACTTTTGAACGGTTAGAGCTAGAGCTTTCATACTTCACATATGTAATTCTTGTGACAAGACCTTCCTTTGGTTACCAACATCTTTGACCCTTTGACCTTGACATAGGAGTTTGACCTACTTTCGAAAAACTTTAATCTTGGCTATAACTTTTGAATGGTTGATGCTAGGGCTTTCATACTTCATATATATAATCCTTGTGACATCACCTTCTTTTGGATACCAACCACTTTGACCCTTTGACCTTGACATAGGAGTTTGACCTACTTTCGAGAAACTTTAACCTTGGCCATAATTTTTGAATGGTTGGTGCTAGAGCTTTCATACTTCACATATGTAATCCTTGTGACAAGATCTTCCTTTGGATACCAACCACTTTGACCTTGACCTTGACGTTTGACTTTTATTTAAAAAACTTTAACCTTCACCATAACTTTTGAACAGTTGTATCTAGGTCTTTCAAATTTCACAGGTGTTTTCCTCGAGACAAGATCTTTCTTTGGGTATCAACATTTTTTATCTTTTGGCCTGGATTTTGACTTGCATCTGAGAAACTTTAACCTTCGACATAAGCTGCCATACGGGGGCATCAGTGTTTCACAAACACATCTTGTTTTATTCTTGAAACCATTTGATCTGTTTTATTTTCTATTCCAGTTTCTTTATTCCTTAAAGAATTTGTCTCATGCAAATTTAATTATACTCAAGGGAATCTTTCAGAAAGAGGAAAACTATCGCTCTATAGTGAATTTGGCACTACAGAAAAGAAAGATATGCACTAAAGGTAGGACGTAGTGTTGTAGATTGTAATATTGTAGATTTGTATAATAGAAATAAAAGTGATTGTGAATACACAAAGAAAGATAATAAGTACAGACAAACCTCATTTTCTCGAACTTGATGGATCATGAAAAAACTTTGAGATATCTGAGGGTTCAAGACACTGAGGTTAAAATGAACAGAGAGAGAGCGTGGCCTAAAGGTTTATGGGTCAGACAGTATGTTTTCTTTGACAAATTCTCTCTAGTTTTAAAAAAAAGCATTTTTGTCATAAAAACCTTCAATGTTGTTTTTTTATGACCATAAAGCCATACAAAATTGTTTACATTGTGTCAAAGTGACCATTTTGATTGATGATGCTTAAAAAAATGTTATGAGATGTCTAAAATGTTCATTGTAAAAAATTATTACCTTAATAGAATTTACAGCTTTCTGTCAATGACTAAAACTTTGTGTTAAGAATTAAAAGTGTGTTGAAATGATTTTCTGTCATTTAATATTTGGAGGTATAGAAAACTGGGTTCTAACACGTTAAAATTTACTAGAGAATTACCCATTCACACTGGTAAATTGTACTCAGAGTGATCTGCCCCATGAAAATCTGATTGGGGGGGGGGGGGGAGGGGGGTACGAAATATATGGAGATAACGAACAGTATTCAAGCTCAAAAGTCCTTTAAACAATACAAATTTTAGAGCAGAGCAAACACGGACCTCTAAAACATCAGAGGTGGGATCAGGTGCTATGTAGGAGTAAGCATCCCCTGTCGACCCGTCACAAGCCGTGTGCTCCTTGTCCTGATCGGGGAATAACGGAAAAATCCGTCGACAATTCAGTGTGTAAATAATGGCCTATCAATTTGTATGAAAAACGTCAGTTAACATTTGACTTCATGATAAATTGTATTTGCTGACAAGGTCATTGTATCGGCCATAGAACGTACGAAATGACGACTTTAATGAGACTGCTGATATTCTTGTTTCATCAACTTGTTTGTCAATAACTTACCTTGTTTAAGAAATTGTTCATACGTAGAGCATGCTCTTGCGTATTGAATCAACTGAGAGATATAAACCCCTATGCATGTGGTGAAGGTACTGTATATTGTTGCATAAGTAAGGGAAGACGACGATTGAAAAGGTAAAGTCAGCACGTTTATCATAAAGCTTGGTTGTTAAAGTACCATTAACGTCTTTTTCTTGTAAAATATCCAGATATGAAGCAGATGTGTCAGACTCTGTGGTATCTTTTATTTCAAGCTCACCGGGATATATCGTATGGAAATAACCATTGTTTATTATTTAAATACATTGTTTCTTATGAAATTAATTTGAGGGAAGGAAAAGTTAGTTTTGTTGTCTGAAGTTATTTGTCCTTTGTAATACCTTTTGCAGTTTTTATCCCTGTTAAAAACCTGGAATCCCGTGGAAAAAAGATTAATTTCGTTTTTGTCATCAATACTTTTATGTTACTCGAAAAAGATTTCAAGGAAGTATTTCTTACATGACATTTGGGGGGGGGGGGGTTAAATTAATTAATTTTTTATATATATATATTTTGCAATAAACAGTAAATCTTGAAAGCTTGAATGCAACAACATGGCCTTTTCATTTTCATACACTGTAGAGGGATGTTTTCTAACCCCCCCCCCCCCCAGTTTACTTGGGTATAAATACGTCAGTATATACATATACAAGTACATGTAGTGGGTAGTGAGTAATGCTCCATTCACTAAACTAATTTTCATAATTATTATATTGTCAATTATAATATGTCTTCGTTTCATTGCAATGATATACATGTCGCACAATAAATATTTTTTTTTAAAAATGACCACAAAATGATAATATATAATTATACCTATTTTTTGATGTGTCTATAATTTCAATAAGTGATCCTGATCAGTTATTAACATACTAATAGATTAAAATTTAAACTGTATAAGCATGTTCTAATTTAATATTCCTTTAATTATACATATACTCTATATATGCATATAAACATGAACGCGTTTGGATAAAGTCTCAAAAGACAAGTTTTGTTCTTAGTTTGATGTTATCACATCCTCAACTCCGAGCTCTCTCTTCCAGCTTTAATTTTACTCCATTAAGTGGTTTTAATAAACCCGACTTGTCAAGCTGGAGTGGAATCTGAAACAAATAAAGAAAATATTTCCACATCTAAACTTTTAAAAATTTATTACAAAAACATTGGCTAATAGGATCCGCTGCATCATTTCTTATCTATACTTATAGGTGATAAACTTGGTGAAAAATAGCACTTGGAACAATGATTTCAAATGGGACAGATTCAGCACATGATCAATTTATCTGAATATAAAACTATACGTATTTTTATTTGGTTTCCTACCTCTGTTTCACTACATGTAACGAAGCGGTAATGTTGAAGTATGTACACAATGGCACATTTAGCTTCCATGGCTGCTAAACGCTGTCCTATACAGTTTCTAGGGGTTTATTCCCTGAACGTTTACTCACTAAAACAACTACTTAATTATCACACTCAATTAAGAGGCCCTCTAAGGGGTCCAGGTAGATTTTAAAGATCTTAAAGATCTTAAAGATCCCCAAATTAACGTTGCTGTAGAATTCCTCCTTCAATAAATACAGGTATAGTTAGTTCATAAATGATTTAAACTCTACCTGTACCCCTTAGAGGGCCCCTTAATTGAGTGTGATAATTAGATGTTGGTTTAGTCCAGTAGACGTTCGGGGAACATATATGTATATATGATACCAATAACTTTCAATATAAAATCATACAATTTTTGAAAGGTTCTGATTACGTTTTTGGCAACTGAATATCTAGAAAAGGTTATAAATGTGGTTTATATGTTATACCTCTGTTTCACTACATGTAACGAAGCGGTAATGTTGAAGTATGTACACAATGGCACATTTAGCCTCCATGGCTGCTAAACGCTGTCCTATACAGTTTCTAGGTCCATGACCAAATGGAAGGAAGGCGTACGGGTGACGCCCAGCCTTATTTTCCGGAGAAAACCTAATTCAAATGAAAAGGCAGATTTTTCCCCTAAATAATTTAAAACATCCTTCGCATAACCACAGAGTGTATAGCTGATCAATTTACTACTAGCATGTTTTATCATGTTTTGTAAGCTATAAAAATGTGGATGAATACTACAGTTCTGTAGAATGAAAAATCACCTACCTTTCAGGATCAAATTTCTCCGGATCAGGCCAGTATTCAGGGTCTCTTTGTACTGCAAAAATGGCAAATGACAGATCCATGTCTTTCGGAATCTTGTAACCACCTATTTCCATCGGTACTTTACTCTTTCGATTCGTTCTAGTATTTCAAACAAATTACACATACTAGTATTAAACTATTAGACATTTTCTGTAAAAAAAAATCTCCGGACACAAGCTTTACTAATTTAATTGCAATATGTGATCTTGGCAAAGGATCAGGAAATATGCGTCAAATATGAGCTTCTCCATGTACAGTCTCTACATTACGTTACACTTTCATCCCAATAATATTGAACTTGTTCAAATGAATTCAAGAAAGATCCCCATTCATACTTTGTGTTAAGAATTCTCTAACAGATGTCCTATACTCACTCATACTTTGTGTTAAGAATTCTCTAACAGATGTCCTGACAAGAATTGTTAGTTCTGATTCGTTTTATTAACATTGTCAAAATGCTAGTGTCTGATGCTCATCAAAACGCACGAGTCGATCGTAAATGTCGTATGACTATTTCTTAAACCTTAGCACGGATTTTGACGGAAATACAACATGGTTGCTACATACCCTACACTGGCGGATTTAAGGGGGGCGTGGGGGGCGCACGCCCCCCCCCCCTAAAATTTTCAAAGTATGATATGACTAGTATTAATAATGCCATACTGTGGTATATAACTAACCAATACCACTATTTTTGTGCCTGGTTTTACTCTTAAAATACACGAAAACCCAGGAGCTTCCGGGGACTTCGCCCCCTGGGCCCCCTCTATTCAAAGCATATGACTAGTATTAATAATGCCAAACTTTGGTACATATAAACTAACCAATACCACTATTATTGTGCCTGGTTTTACTCTTAAAATAAACGAAAACCCGTGAGCTTCCGGGGGTTTCGCCCCCTGGGCCCCCACCAGCGCTTCGCCCTGGACCTACTGGGGGCCTTAAGGCGGCCCCCAGACCCCCTGCCTAAATTAAACGAAGTTATCCACCCCCCACCCCCCTAATCACAAATCCTGTATCCGCCCATGCCCTACAAACTGTGTTGGAGGGGTGGTATAGTGGCATAAAGGCAGTTTTTCATTGAGAATGCTTTTTTTTTAACAAAAGATAGGATACCTTACAGCAGGTGGGTATAACCTCAGAGTCTCATTGAATACCCAGTCCATGTACTCCAACTTTTGTACATTGTCATATGTAGGGAGGTCCTAGAAAAATTGATGACAAATATGAGTAGCTTAAAGTTGAATTTTATTGCATTTCATTGCCATTATTTACTGTGCTGTTATTGGATTGTTTTATTGTATTGCAACTTTTATTGCAAAGCGACTTCTTTTGTAAGTACGGTGCACGATGGCCGACAAAAGATGAGATATTGTTGACTTGCAATCAAAACAGAGTTTTTTTCCGTTTTTGTTGGCTGTTATCCTTTAATCATGGGCCAAATAGTAATTTTAGTAATTTTTTACTAACACATCTTTCAAAAATAGTAAGAACAAAAAAGAATTGCAATTGTGACATCTATTGGAACTACTGGTCTGATTTCAGTTCGGATAAAGAAGCATGACTAATACTAATAGGTACAGCTCATGTAATCAAAAGATCCTCGATACACTAAAGGAAAAAGTGTGTTGGACATTGAAAAATATAATATTGTATAGGGTGCAAATAACTGCTTATCTTTCTAATTTTCAATATAGGATACTATTTATTTATCCCTAGGAAAAATGTTCAAAGACAACGATGTGTTGCAATTGATCAACAGAAATCAGTATTGTTTGCTAAAGCGGGGAAAATACATTTTTTAATGTAAATGTGTTAAGTTTCCTTACCATGGCCTATTAAATTGTTAAGAATGCATGAATTGATTACAAATTGAAAAATACACCGTACATTTCAATTTACTTTATTTAAGATCTAAGGGTAACTTATTCTAATTTCATAATCAGAAGAGTATATATAGAGAGTATCTCGACTAAATCAAAGAAAGATAACTCTAACAATTTTGAAGTTTTTGAGGATCATGTACTAACGTGAAATACTTAATAATGAAATTAAAAAAAAATAATCAATACGAACATTCAATAACCCAGTTGGAATCAAAAATATTTACTACGTGGCGCATTTTAACCCCCCTCCCTGAAAAGCTACGTATATGTATGTATTTGTATAATGCATGGAAAAATTTATTTAAATTAACTTACGTTCCCTAAAGTTGAATCAATTTCGTTTATAAGTTTTTCCTGACAATCTGGGTTCGTTGCCAGACAATATACCAAAAAGGTCATGGTGCTCGCCGTTGTATCGAATCCCGCGAGAAGGAAGAGGATTGCATTGCCTGTCACTTCATCCTCAGTCAAACCTACATATGTATCAGAGACACGTCAATTTTACCATAATTATCAGATCATTTTTGGAATTCATTTTGAACATTTAATTTAGGGTTTATCAACATCTAAAACTGTAAAATTCGTTGTTCATTAAAATTTGTTTACTGATGAGAGAGAGAGAGACCTCGTTTTTTCCATTTGTTGGGGTCTCCTTCATAACTGTGTACGTCCTCGATCTCATTCTTTTCTGTGTCCTTGTGAGCGTTTAGCATCATCTGCAGCAAATCTTTTCTATTCTGAGACAAACAAAACGAACAATAATTATTTGTTGCAATATCTAAAGATAATCTGATGAATCGTTTACAGAAAAAAATGTAAGTAAAAAATTCTTTTTAAATAGGCCTTAAATTTTGAAGATAGCTAAAAAATTTGAATTAATTGATTTTTATTCACTTGAAATTTGTATATACATCTTCTAATCGGCGATGCATTTTTGTCATTATGTAGATGTTGATAAATTGCCAAATTAAAACCGTTCCAATAGATTTTGAAATCATAAAATTAAAGACCTGTCTTGTTTTTACTTAAAAATACCTTATCTCCTTCGTCTCGCATTTCAATGGCCTGGTGGACCGCCGATTTGAAAAAGGTCATGACTCTTCGATTATTTGTTGGAGATACATTAAAATAGTTTAAAATCCTATCAAGTGGTGGGAAAATAACTGAAAAATAACATAAATATTGTTATATTAAAATTGAAAAAAAAATGTAAAAAAAAAAAATGTATGCTTTATTTTTCCCTATATGTAAATTTTAGCTGATAAAATATAACAAATCTTAAGCTTTTTGAAAATGTGATAGCTTAAAAGTTAACTTACATGTATCTGTTAAAATTTAACTTAAATCAAATCTCCTTACAATGTTCATTTTTCTTACCAATGAGGAAAATAATAAAATTGATTCTTGGCGCAAAAAGTTCTTTGGCATATTTCACAAAAGTATTATCTGGGTTTGTCTGCGAGTCTATGTCCATTCCGAATCCGAGCGAGGCTATGACGTCCATAGTGTATCTACCAAACATTCTGTAAATAGTTTTATTACAAACTTGCATATTAATGCAGTTTTTTGCATATGTAAAATAAGAACTTCCTATCTACAAAACTGTGGGAGGAGTTATCCGGACAAATGTTGTACCCAATATGCAATTTTTTGTGAGGAAAAATGGTAAAGTTTAACAGCTGGTATTTTCCTCATTAATTACCAAAATCCACGTACTACGCATACCTACGATATATGTACAACTGATGCATTTTGTTGAAAATCGTTACAATTATGTATTTTTTTAAATAAAAGAATTCTGTATAATCCACACCTGTAATCCATAATGATTAAAAAATAACGACAATAATAAAAAGAGAATAATACATGGCAAAATCTGTATCACATCCCACATCAACCTGAGACTCAATTATCAGCCCGAGGGCCGAAGGCCAGAGGGCTGATATTGGTCAAGGATTGATACGGGATGTGATACAGATTTCGTTATGTACATGTATTGTTGTATTTATTATATATTTGCAAATAGTGTCCAAATCATACATAAATTTGTAATTAATTACTAAATTTTTAATATTTGAATGTGTTCTGTTTTTGTTGAAAATTTTTATATTTATTTTATATTTCTTATATAATACAGAATTTTTGCATCCCTGATATGAACACAGGCACTCGCCCTGTATTACACACCCTGTATCAGCACCCTTTATTTTACCCCGGCTTTATAACACACTATTACACCTTTCCAAGCCTCTTTCTTTACTCCTCACTAAGATACATGTATTAACAGTAGTGAAGGAGAAACTTCAAGAGTACTGTGCAACAATATATTCGAGAAGTGGTGTAAATCAGATGAGGATACTAAAAAATTTCAATGAACTTTTGGAGCATTTGAAATCACAAAATTTTACCAAAATCAACAACATAAAAACTTACGACTTTTCAACTTTATATACAACTATTCCACACGATAAATTAAGGTCCAGACTTTCTGACATCGTTGACAGCTGCTTTTTCAATAAAAACGGAACTCGTAAATATACTTACCTTGTCATTGGTCATTTGCAAAATTACTTTGTTAAAAAACAATCTGATTATACACACAAGTACTCTGAAATTCACATTAACAAGATGCTCAAGTTTCTGATTGACAATATTTATGTGGTTTTTGGAGATCAGGTCTTCCAACAATCTATTGGAATTCCCATGGGTACCAATCGCGCCCCGTTATTAGCAGACCTATTTTTGTATTTATATGAAGCAGAATTTTATTCAAAATCTTTTACGTGAAAAGAAGAAAACACTTGCTGTGGCCTTCAACTCGATATTTAGATATATCGACGACGTATTGTCAATTAACAATGGTTATTTCCATTCTTATGTCGACAAGATATATCCCGGTGAGCTTGAAATAAAAGATACCACAGAGTCTGACACATCTGTTTCATATTTGGATATTTTATTAGAAAAACACGTTAATGGTAATCTAACAACAAAGCTTTATGATAAACGTTATGACTTTAACTTTTCAATCGTCGACTTCCCTTACTTATGCAGCAATATACCCTTATCACTTGCATACGGGGTTTATATCTCTCAGTTGATGCGATACGCATGTTCTACGTATGAACAATTTCTAAAACGAGGTAAGTTATTGACAAACAAGTTGATAAAACAAGAATATCAGCAATTTCGTTTAAAGTCGTAAGTTCTATGGTCGATACTATGACCTTGTCAGCAAATAAGTCTATCAATAAGTCAAATGCTGTCTGACTTTTTTCATACTAATTGTTATTCCATTATTTACACACTAGTTGGATTTTCCGTTATTTCCGGATCATGACAAGGAGCACACGGCGGGTGTGACCGGTCGGCAGGGGATGCTCACTCCTCCATGGCACCTGATCCCACCTCTGATGTTTTAGAGGTCTGTGTTTGCTCTGCTCCTATTTTGTTATGTTTAACGGACTTTCGAGCTAGAATACTGTTCATTATCTCCACGTATTTCACCTTTCCGGAACGTCTCTGTATTTTTTCATTCGGAGTACCTCAGATCTTTTTCTACGTTTTTTATGAAGTTTATTTACATTGCAATTTAATTCATCAGATATTTTATGTTATTCAAAGTAATTATTTGTTTAATTTATAATTATTTCATTTCTTATCGCAGAATGCTTTGCATTTGGACAAAAAATAATGAAAAACGGAAATTCAACAAAAACGGAACACATTCAATTATTATAAATTCGGTAATCAATTTACAAGTTTATATAATTATGATTTTTTCAAATTTTCAAATGTAAAATAAGAACAACAATACATGACAAAATCTGTATCACATCCCGTATCAACCCTGGACCAATATCAGCCCTCTGGCCTTCGACCCTCGGGCTGATACAGTATTGGAGTCTCGGGTTTTTATGGGCTGTGGTACATATTTTGCCATGTATTATTCTCAGTATACTATTTGGTTCCTATATTCTAAGATTAAATTTTTACACACTCTTTAAACTCTATGGTTTTTCCTTCATCAGTTTCCTTTTTCAAACCGTCGAGTAGCAACTGATACTTCTTTCTTAAAAGAGGATCCATCTGTAATAAAAAAAAATCATTGTCAAAGGCAAACAAAATGAAGATTAAAGTTCTCACTCAATTATTATATCTAATGGTCGTTTGACGTATTTTAAACCAAGATTTTCATTAGAAATTATATTGAATTATTTTAATTCTTCACCAAAATTATCTTCGCATACTATATTTTAGAAAAATGGTCATTAATTTTGTAAACAAAAGTTTGTGCAATTGAAAATTTTACCTTTCTCATTTTACCACTTGAAAATGTAGGTAAAAGAGTATTTCTCATAAATCTCCAGTGGTCATCTTCAACAACAGTCAAACCATGTCGCAATTCACTCCTGACTTGAAAACTATTCTATGAATTATTTTTAAAGTAATGTTTATTTAATTTGTTAACGTACATAATAACTAAATATATAATTACTAGTTTTCTAATTTTTTCAAATATTTAAAAAGAAATTCTCATTTTGGAAAACTGACAAAAATTTACTCACAGCTCTGTTGGGAGCGTAAGAGAAATCTTTAACTGAAATATTTTTAATAATATCAGGGTCTGCTATCAAGAGTGAAGGGACTCCACCCAGAAAAGTGCTAGAATAAAAGGAAAACAAACGCGATTTTATTTAAACAATAAAATGCTTTCTTTCTTTGATAATGTAGGAAATAACGGTTGCAGCCATTGCAGAAAAACTGCCATAACCCGCATAAGTGGGTTATGTCAGTGTTTTTATGAAATGGTTGCAACCGTCAATGCTTCATTAACAAATAAAGAAATCATTTTATCGTTTAATATATTTGTGTATATAATTGTAATAAATGGGTTTAAAAACGTAAAATATTGTATTACTGATCTGTACGTCATGGTCTGTTTCATTGGTTAAAGAGCCAACTTTCTTGTGAAATCTTTCATAATGGTGGCTTGAAAAATCCGGTTCTAACTAGTTCAGAGTTAATGAATTGACTAAGGGAAGTGGGTTTCATAAATTAAAAAAAGAAAACATTCAGTGGGTGTGAATATATGCAAGTAACAGTAACCGTCATTTTAGCAACATGTTCACTGCATTCTTCAACATCAGAGTTGTTATAAAGTGTAAAATATTGAAGTATAATTTTACCCTACAACTTTTCCATAATTTTGGATCTGCTTCATATCAAATCCGTGGACGCCCTTTAATTAAGAATATAATGAAATTGTAAAAAATGGAAGAAACAGAGAGTAAATTTTGATGAACATGAAGAGGAACGTTTTATTTAAATACAGGTAATGCAATATTGAATGATCTCTCTCTCTCTCTCTCTCTCTCTCTCTCTCTCTCTCTCTCTCTACTTTTGAAATATAAGAGCGAAAATAAGACAAGACATTCTATAAATTTATTAAGGATAAAGAATGTTAAAGATCTGCCTAAACCTACAATATTCTTTAACTCTCTAAGCGTCCCAATATAAGGAAAATATTCAGGACCTGGAACTCCAAGACGACGCCATAATCCAAACTTCCATTTCACATGTCTACAACATTATAAACTTATATATCAATTATATATACACACTCGACAGAACATCAGGCCTAAGACCTGTAACTGATCAATAATACAATAATATGACCTACATGTATCTAGTGTTCCAAGAACTCTTTTATCCCGAAAGAACATTAGAATGCGATTCCTTCAATTTTAAACACGTAAAGCTGAAGGAAAGTATTTTTTCAGAATTTTATTATTCCTATGTTATAAAAAATAAAAAAAAGTTTTTTTTCTAAAATCAAACCAAACAAGTAATATGAGAATGTATTCAGTAACAACAGTATCTTCACAAAACCTACATGTGCTGACAAATGATATACAGTTTTAGAATGTCTTGGAGAAGAAAAATATGAGTTTAAGTTAAAAAAAATTAATAATGGTCTTCTCTTATTTTATCAAGTTTTATTGAAATGGGAAGTTTATTGACTTTCTATGGTACCAAAGATGAAATGATAAGTCGATATTTTTAAAGTAGGTCAAGGTAATGGGTCTGAAAACCTCAAACTGAAAAGATTGTCTAGACAGCTAAAAACAAACGTACAACCCCTTAAAATAAGAATGCATTGTACAGCCTCTTATGTCTAAAATGTAGGACAATGGAGGTCCTTCAAAAGCTGCTAAGAACATGTTCAAGGTCAGAATGTAACGCACAATTCATTTGTGCTATAGGGAAGTTTAGGACGATAGCCGAAATACCAAGTTTAGAGGACAAAAACTAAATTTTTTTGATGGAAAAATGTATTAAGGATTTATCATAGTTCAGTTCTATACGTGTTTTCCAATTAAAAGAAGACGTTGATATCAGTTTACTTGCAAAACCAGAGACAGAAGACTATGGAGACAACATGCACGTAAATATATCGGCAAATGCAAGTTTTATTTAGCACGAAAACCCAGGAGGCCCCTATGTAAACAAAGCAAGTGACATACCTTTCCATATATGTAAAATTGATAAAAAAATCGTTGGATTGGGTTCCTGTCCACAAATTATTTGTGAATACTTAAATCAATAAAAACCGAATGAATAAATTATCTTCCTTGACGAAGCAATATTCCTGTAAACGTGATAAATGGATAAGTAGCAATGTATAATTAAAATATGCAAATACAAAACAGAAAAAAATACCGCTAATGAACATGTATATGTAGCTGAAACATGGGAAGCAAGACTTCATTTTCATTGTACTTACATGTAAACAGCAACCAGAGCAAAGACAATCAGTAAAATCCACCCATTGATTTCCACAACACCCAACACGTCCATGGTGTAACTCACACTGAGTGATTTCCGTTATAAAAATATATATGAAAAAACACAGCTCTGTGACCGAGAAATGACTAATACAAACAAACCCTATCTGACGACATTTTTATTTTAAGACATAGTTTTACATTTGAGTTATCTTTCGTTGAGTCATAGATAAACCTGTTTCTAGTAATCATGACCGTATAAAGTCAAAAGAAAGATAAAAAGTACTAATAATATATTTTGACCTTAAAATCGATGTCGTAAACCTTATTTCCTTTGATTGCTGCATACAATCTATCGAGAACATGTCAGATCACTGTTATTTTCAGATTTAACCATTAGATTTTGTTCAGAATATTTATTTAGATCTATATAGTTCTCTGTTGCTACAGTCTCTATAGTACTCGGAGTTATTTGCCCCAGAAAAATATGTATATAAACACATAAATAGTTTTTTCCCTTTCATTTCTCTTGAAAGAGAATTGCTAACTATTTTACATGTAACCGGTTTTTGGTCTGTAGTTATTAGTCCCCTACCGCCGAAACCGGAAAGGACTATAGGTTTCCTCTGAGTCTGTCCGTCCGTCTGTCTGTCTGTCCCTCTGTCTGTCTGTCAGTCTGTCCCACTTGGTTTTCCGCTCTTTTATTCTAAACGCTTGCAGATAATGAGCTGATTTTTGGTATGTGAGTGACAGATAAGTTTGCATTTCGTTCCGCTTCAATGATTTTGGCGGAATTACAACCTTTTCAATTTTTCAGGGTTTTCCGCACTTTTTTTCTAAACGCTTGCGGATATTGAGCTGATTTTTGATATGCGACTTTACCTTGATAAGTTATAGATCAAGTTTGCATTTCATTCCGCTTCATTTTTTTTTTTTTTTTTTTTTTTTTTTTTTGGCGGAATTATGGCATTTTCAAATTTTAGCGGGAACCAGATTACACTTGCCGGTAGGGGAATAGTATTGCTAATGCAATACTCTCAGAATGCTTGTTTACTCTCGTAATACCTTTAGAGCATTTTATCTCATGACCGAAGATCAGAATACGCCGTATAAAAAGATAAATTTCATTTTATCATAAGAACTTTGATATTTTCGGAAAAGATTATATATTTTTGTTATAGTATATTTCCTACTTTCCTGATAAATAGTAAATCTAATGATAAATAATACGTTTTTTCTCTGTAAAGGTAAGTTTACAACACTAATTGACCTAATATATATGTTTACTATTTAGTGAATACTGGCAGCGAAGTTGTTATCGTCCATTTTATATATCTTTGTAATTGACCTAATATATATGTTTGCTATTTAGTGAATACTGGCAGCGAAGTTATTAGAGTCCATTTTATATATCTTTGTTAGCACAAAAAATATAAATAAAGAAAAAAGAGATAAATTAAAAAGCGAAAATCGCCACAAAATGATAATCAGTTTATAATACCTGATTTTGTGTCTACTTTATCAAGTGCCTGAGTAATTAACAGCTAATAACCCGACGCTATAAAATATTCTAAAATCTCTAATTTATAAATACTTATTTCTTTAAAAAAATACTGAATATCTGCTTTAGAAAAACAAACATGACCGTTAGCACAAGTTAATGTTATCACATTCCCACCTCTGTTAACACTTCCGGTTTTAATTTCAACTATTAAGAGCTTTTAATAAACCCTGTTTGTCAAGCTACAGACACATAAGGACGATTTTATTAGGACGAATTCTTTAAATTATCAAATTATCTCAATAAACTACATGTATTTCACATTCTGTTTTATACCCATGTTAAATCGATAAGGTTAAAGCACACACCCACACACACACACACCCACATACACACACCCTCACACACACACACACACAGATAGATATATATATATATATATATATATATATATATATATATATATATATATATATATATATATATATATATATATATATATATATATACAATGGTACATTTAGCTTCCAGACAGCTAAATGTTTCCTATCCAGTTCAGGGGACAGTGTCAGAAAGGAAGCTTTTAAGGAAGACGTACATGTAACGCCCAGCTTTGTTTACTGAGAAAACCTAAATCAAATGAAAACGGAAGATTTGTTTCTGAACAAATTAAGACACACACCTTGCATAACCTCAAAGCAATCAGTATATCAAAGTAGTGTGTTTTATCATTGAATTTTATGAAAACGAACAGTAATCAAGCTCAGAAGTCCATTGAAACAATACAGATTATGAGCAGAGCAATCATGAACGTCAGAGTTGGAATCAGGTGCCATGGAGGAGTTAGCATTCCCTGTCGACGGGTCACATCCACCTTGTTCTGCATTAGTTAGAATAACCTAATTGTGTTTCGGGACAAGCCCTCAACACAGTTAGAATACGTCCCATATAATTACAATGTAGCAAATCGCAGCAGATCCCCTCCGAAACGATTTTGAAGTAAACAAAAGGAGTTGCACTGAAAATAACTACCAAATTAATCATAACAAACCTTTTTGAGATTGTATATGCCTTTTAACCGAAAAAATAATCCATGTAAAGACGAAAATTCAACTCATTTTCTCAACATTTTTTCCCGCTTCAAATTTACACGCCATGTTGACATTCGAACTCTCTGGATTGATCATAGTAAATGCACTGAGTTCGAGTTATCGCCCGTGTTTATTTTGCTACATTACCAATAACGGAACGAATTCTATCGTTAAACCGGGTCCGTAGGACAATATCATTTAAACGATAGAACGTTCTGTCTAGTTCTGCATATGATCGGATAAGCAGAAAAATCTGTAGACAAATCAGTGTGAAAATAATGGCCTAACAGTTTACATGAAAAACGTCAGTGAACATTCGACTTAACGACAGATTGTATTTGCTAACAAGGTACTGTAAAAAATTTTATTTTGCGTGTATGATATTTGGCGGAAACTCATTTTTTTAAGAAGTTGGCGTAGATATGATTTAAAGCTTTCTGAAAGTGTTTTACATGAATATATATACACAGGGAATTTAGCAATGCACTTGATTAAGCGAAAGCTACTAAATAAAGTACACGGCCAAATGTAATACGTCTACAGTAACTGTATCGACCATAGAATTAGCGAAAAATTGACTTACAACGAGTTTTCAGATATCCTTGTATCATCAACTTATTTTTGAATAGCTTATCTCGTTTTAGAAAATATTCGTACGTAAAACATGCTCTTGCGTCTTGAATCAACTGGGAGACATAAATTCCACTTCCAGGTGATAATGGTATATTGCTACACAAGGAAAGTTGACGATAAAAAAGTGAAGTCACGTTATCATAAAGTTTATTTGTTTGGTTGCTATCATTTTCTTTCTCTAATAAAATATCCAAATATGAAATAGATGTGTCATACTCTGTGGTGTCGTCTATTTTGAGTTCAAAGGGATATTATTGTTAATTGATAAAACCTCGTCGATATATCTAAATTCTAATTGAAGGCCACAGTAAGAAACTTTTTTTTCATGCAGAAGCCCTGCTTCAATTGAATACAAAAACAGGTCTGCTAATAACGGGACACAGTAAGTACTCATGGGAATTCCAACAAGAGACCTTTCTCCAAAAACTAATTTAGTTAGATATTGTCAATCAGAAACTCAAACATCTTTTTAATGTCAGTTTGGATCAGAATGGGTTTTTTTTCTCAAATAAATTTGCAAAAGACCAATGACAAGGGAAATCCATTTACGCGTTCCATTTTTATTTAAAAAGCGTGGGGAATTGTAGTACAGTGTATCAAGTAGTGAAAAGTCATATGTTTTGATGCTGTTGAGTTTGAATATCTTTACAAAATCTTAAATGAAACACACACATGCAATGCACCACTTCACATATTTATTTTTCTTTTCAAAACTGCATTGGAGAAAGTTCCTTCATAATTCAAACTATACCACTGATTTTTCAGAAATTCCTTTTACAATTCAAATTATACCACTGTTATTTCTATCTAAGTTAACATATGCAAAGTTAAGAAAAGACTAAGAGTCCTTTGTTCTCTCTTCCAATTTTAACTTTATCCCATTCGTAGGTTTTAATAAGCCAGAAGAAATACTTAGCTGCAAGGGAATCTGAAAGAAAAACCTCAAAAGTAATTCTTTCATCGAAAATACCAATAACTTTCAATATAAAATCATACAATTTTTGAAAGGTTCTGATTACGTTTTTGGCAACTGAATATCTAGAAAAGGTTATAAATGTGGTTTATATGTTATACCTCAGTTTCACTACATGTAACGAAGCGGTAATGTTGAAGTATGTACACAATGGCACATTTAGCCTCCATGGCTGCTAAACGCTGTCCTATACAGTTTCTAGGTCCATGACCAAATGGAAGGAAAGCATACGGGTGACGCCCAGCCTTGTTTTCCGGAGAAAACCTGAATGAAAAATGGGAAGCATTATTTGTTGCACAAACCAGTTAATCTACAAGAAACATTTATTTATAAATCAATAGGCTGTTTAACGTTGATTTTATGTATAAATTAAGACAGCTGGTAATTATGTTATCGTTCGTTGAATAAATATATGTACTTATAAATCACAAAGATTTAAACCTACCTTTCTGGATCAAATTTTTCAGGTTCTGGCCAGTATTTAGGGTCTCTTTGTAGTGCATAAATAGGAAATGACAGATCAACGCCCTTGGGAATCTTATACCCACCTATATCCATCTCAACTTTGCTCACCCGATTGGTTCTAAAATTAAAAAGAAATTGGATTCATTTGCTTAGAAATCAAACATCCCATGTACAAACGTCAGCTAGATATGAAATCTAATGTCATGTTTTTGCAAGCGATAGATGTTTATTTCATGCCTTGGAGACATTACTTTTGATAATAAAAATTTAGCCTTATCCTCAATTTTATGCAATGTTCGTTTTTTGTATTGTTACTTTGCAATAATTTCAATAAATAACTTCTTCTCATTTGAAAACTACAAGTCTATTGATATTAAAGAAAAAAAATGAGCAATGTTCAAACATCATAAGCACTCACATTCTTTTGCAGTTGTAAGAAAAAAAAACAGGATTGCTTCAGATAACTATTGATTGTGTGATATAAAAATTAGTACGAATACATTTTTCACAATTTTAAATTGCTAATTTTAAAACGTTTAAGCGAAGACAAAGCATAATCATTGTGTGTTGAGGGGGGGGGGGGGTGTTAAAAGGGCAAAATACCTTGTAGCTGGAGGATAGAGTCTTAGAGTCTCATTGAAAACCCAGTCCATGTAGTCAATCTTCTGAACATTGTCGTAAGTTGGGAACTCCTAGAAATATTGATAATTATCATGCAGCTTATTTAATCAAAAAACATGTTTGAGATTTTCTGAAGATTTTTCTATGTTGACATGTAGTTCATTATGAATAAAGAGTGTAATCTAAAAATATATAAACAAAAGAAAAAAAAGATACAATTTTAATTTCACCTTTCCTAGAATTGAATCGATTTCGTCAATGAGTTTTTCTTGGCAATCTGGGTTTGTTGCCAGACAATATGCCATAAAGGTCATGCTGCTCGCCGTTGTTTCAAACCCAGCAAGTATAAATAGGATAGCATTCCCGGTCACCTCATCTTCAGTCAAACCTAGTGAAAAACGACAGCTTAGAATGCACGATTTTGAACAAATAATCGTATTGCATATTCATTTGTTCGATGGAACACTTATAAGGTTCACCTCTCTTAAAAGCTACTGAGAGAGAGAGAGATGTAACAATTGACCTCGCTTTTTCCATTTATTTGGGTCTTCTTCGTAGTTTTGTTCACTCTCTATTTCATTCTTTTCGGTGTCTTTGTGGGCATTCAACATCAACTGTAGCAGATCTGTTCTATTCTATATCACAGAAATAAACACTGAAATTAACTGTTTGTTTTTGTAAAAAAAAACAAAAAAAACAACACACTATTAGGACTGTTTTTTTCCCTAAAGATGTACTTAAGGACTACTGTGAAACCATGCGTGACACGATGAAAGCAAACACAATTTGATACGTAGCATATAAATTAGTAAGAAGTTTGCCATTTTGATGAACCTTGACCAAATTCCTCAAGTGAACACAGTTAAAGGTTGTGATATCCTCTAGACATAAACAACCTCTGTGTCACATGAAATTCTAGAACGTTGACATTATTTTACTCTTTGATTTTCCTCAGACTTTGTTGCAAATAGACCTTCAAATTTTCAAGTGTGTGTGTGAGGTAGGGTGTGTGTGTGTTTACCTTGTTTTTATTTTATGGTAGATGAGTGAGATGAAACCTTGACATAGCCTAAATGAAATGTCAAAACAATCACTTTTCATAAATTTTCTAGTAACCTATCTAAAGAAATCAACTGAAATAAAATATGAAATAGTTTTAGAAACAATGTTTGGAAAGAAGTTCATTAATAAAATGATGAATTGTATAGTGACCCTTAAACAAATGCAACATTAAAACTAGAGGCACTGTGAGCATTGAGCTCACAAAATGATATACCCCGCTACAATTTAAGTATAATGTATAGTCTACTTTTTGCTACGGAAAACCCAAAATATCTGTCTGATGAGAAAATAAACTAGGATGTCACAATGGTACAATGTGACAAAGATTCTATGAAAGTATCATTAAATTTTTTCCTTGGTATAGAGAAGTCGCAAATAAGTGATGGGTAACCCCCCCCCCCCCCCAATATTATAATAGAAAGAATGGCATTGTCCATGTGGGAAACCCCAAAATATCCGTACAATAGAAATAAATTATAGAAGACACTACGTTTTGTTCGTTTGTTTGTTTGTTGTTTAACGTCCCTCTCGAGAATTTTTCACTCATAAGGAGACGCCACCACTTGCCGGTGGAGAGTTGCAAATTTTGTCCTATACTCGGCACTTACGGCCATTGAGCAGTGAGAGATCTTTTTTGTGCCAGCACCTACAGCGACACGGGACCTCGGTTTAAACGGTCTCATCCGAAGGACCGGTCTCCATGTCCCACAGTGGGATTCGAACCCGCGACGTAAGGATCAACTCCTTACTTCGCGACTCTAGAGCAGACGCTCTAACCACTGCGCCACGCGGGCGACGAAGACACTACGTAATAAAGATTCTGTGAAAGTCTCATTAGGCTCTAAATTTTATTCCGTGGTATAGAAGGAGTTGCGGATAAGAGATGAGTACTACACCGAGGCGTTAGGGACGAAAGGACATACACTCTAATCACTATATATCCCCGCTTTTTAAGCAGGGGAGGGGTATAAAAAATATATATCAGTCTCATAAATTAAAGAGCATAAATTTTTTTTTCAAATTTTGAAAAAAAAGACAGTTCTAGAAATATTCTTAAGACAAAAATTATCTTAATATGTATACGTGGTGGTTTCAGTTTATTCCCCGGTAATATGCAAAAGAGGGGTAGAAAAACTGTAGACTAAATATAATTAAACTTTTTAACAATGAAGCCTTGGATGTCAAATACCTGATCTCCTTCGTCTCGCATTTTAACTGCCTGGTGTACAGCCGATTTAAAAAAGTTCATGACTCTTCGATTATTTAAAGGTGATAACTCAAAGTAGTTTAATATACGGTCAAGAATTGGCAAAACAACTGAAAATTAAAAATATATATATTATTTACACTTTGATATGAAAATATGATATTCCACAATATCATATCGTGATTTTTTTAATGACGTGTAAATATGTATTGGAGTTACCTAAAAAGCGAATAATATTTAATAATTTGCTCAAAAATTAAATTAAAAGTCTTCGTGAAATGTTTAATGCTTTTCATCTGCTGATAGCAATTTTTGCGAAAATCTGCGGTATTCCTTCAACCTCAATAAAGACATATCACTACGTTAAAAGCATTCGGGGATTCTGGAAACCCCATCACATATATTACAAATATATAATGTATGAATGAATTGCAAACGCTCTTTCGCCTACATGACCTTTTCATGATATCTAATATATATATATATATATATATATATATATATATATATATATATATATATATATATATATATATATATATATATATATATTTAAAAAACGCTTGTATTTTGTAGCCATATCATTATTACTAACCGATAAGCCGCAGATTGCTCATAAACATTTTCATACTATCTTTAATCAGCAGCAAGGGCGAAGCTGTACCCTATGGTACTTGTATTTTTTCCCATAAAGGATCAAAATCCGAGTATCATGCACATCAATATTATATACACAATTGATATGCAAAATAAAAACTTCTTAGCCTGAAAATTGTAATAATAAAAATGACTGATATTTTCCCTATAATTATTTAGAAATCAAAAGTACCATGTGCATCTAGTGCTATGCCCAACAATTAATTTGCAAAATAAAAACTTCTTATTTTTAAAATGTAGGATGCGTTATCGAGGCAAATTTTGTATGAAATATGAAGTTAACGAACAGTATTCAATCTGGAAAGTCCAATGAAACATACAAGTTTGGAGCAAAGCAAACATGGACCTCAAAATTTAGAGGTGGGATCAGATTCCATGGAAGAGTGAGCATCCCTTGCTGACCGGTCACACCGTTAAGTGCTCTTTTATCATGATCGGGAAAAAAACCCGGAAAATCCATAGACAGTATCCTATACGCAATATTTAGCCTAAAAATTACTACATGTAAGTTCAACAACTGGTAATTTTCTCTTAAATTATCACAAATCAAAATCTAAGTACTATGCCCATCTCTGATATACATTGTTGTACACTTGATCTGCAAAATAAAAAGTTTTTATCTTGAAAACTGTAAAAGTTATCCAGACAAATGATGTATCCTACATTGCATAAAAATGACTTTAAGTAGTTTAACAACTGGCATTTTTTTAATTTTTTGTTGTTGTAAATCATCAAAATTCAAAATCCAAGTACTAAGCACATCTCTGATAGATGCACAGTTGATCTACAAATTAAAAAGGTTCCTAACTTGAAAACTATATGAGGAGTTATCTCGACAATGATATACGTTTTTGGTAGCCGCCCTCCCGACCCCCACAGTCGCTATTTTTAAGTATTTCAATAGCCAGATTTTTTTCCTTCAGAGAACCTGCATTAAAATTAAATTAACAAACATCTGCACCCGCAGAAAAAACAAGTATACATACAAATCAGGAATAAGCGAAAGGAGAACTTGTTGTCGAACAGTTCTTTGGCATATTTCACAAATGTATCATCTGGGTTCGTCTGTGAGTCTATGTCCATTCCGAATCCGAGCGCGGCTATAACATCCATTGTGTATCTACCAAACATTCTGTAAATAAATTCATTCATAGCTGATTCTACTTTTGAACATGAAATAATTTCTATTATTTCTGTGGAACTACGCAAATTCAGACAGATGTAGATCATGAATCTATTTATGATTTTTTTCATCGTTTTCTTACCCTTTAAATTCTATGGGTTTTCCTTCGTCTGCCTCCTTTTTCAAACTTTCGAGCAACAACTGATATTTCTTTCTTAGAATGGGATCCATCTGTAATATTAACAATATCAGAGCATAGACAGAATAACTTAAATGTTTTTTCTACATTTGTTTTAAAAAGATGTTTTCTTTTCTTGTTTATGAGGATATATATGCTTTTGGAGCATGTTATAAAATAATTAGCATAAATCATCAATATATATATATATATATATATATATATATATATATATATATATATATATATATATATATATATATATATATATTAAACCACAGGAGTTCGCATACCTATCAATTTTACCGAATTCTTCAGTAAATATAAAAAATACGTAATACCTATAATAATAACACTATTATAGGTATTACGTATTTTTTATATTTACTGAAAAATTCGGTAAAATTGATAGGTGTGCGAACTCCTGTGATTAAACCAACAACCTAAAATCCTATTAGTAGACTGTTATTTCTTAAACATGTTTGTAAATGTATTTGCATTTTAACTAATAGATGTATTTCTAGTTCCGGCTCTAAATATAGCAGCACAGAACCAAGATCCTTGTATGTTAATAATATGAATTTTTGAATTATCGATGCATTGTCTTTGTACAAGATAATTTTTACAATTTGTTCATAAAATGGTCCCATATTAAGCCTTGCTTCATTAATGTGGCCCGACCCTACCCACTACTAGCCCAGTGATTCTTGCACAGAAAATTTTTTCATATTTTTTTTATTGATGCAACCAAATCAATAAAGTGATTTGTGCCGAGTTTGAAATTGGTCCAGTGATGCTGGAAAAGTTAAAAAATGTAAAAACAATTGACACAATGGTCAGTAAGACGCTGGACACTCTTTGCTAAGGGCCATTGGAGCTGCAAATTCCGTTTTTCTGAAATTCAGTTATCTATGAATAGCTGATAATAATTTTTTTTAAAAAATTAAAAGCCCCTCTTCTATGTAAAATATAATTTTCAAGGTTTTTATAATTTGATCCGTTAAAATTTCAAACTTAAGCTTGAAAAGGTGATTTTTTTTTTGGCACAAGTCTTTTAAAGTAGATGTTCACTGATGTACAGAAATCATCCTTGGCCCTTAGTGTAGCACTGACTAATAGGAGCTACCGTGTTACACGTATTAATGAGCTAAAGTTAAAAAAAACTGTACCTTTCTCATTTTACCACTTGAAAATGTTGGTAACAGAGTGTTTCTCATGAATCTCCAGTGGTCATCTTCAACAACAGTCAAGCCATGTTGTAACTCATTATTGTTTCGAACGACATTCTGCAAATAAAAACTTTTGTGCATACATCACGTGTTGTCGATAAAGGGTTCATCGTTAAAATGACAATGCCTTGTGGGTAGAATTCGTACTGTATGTTGGCAATGTAGCAAAGCACAATTCAGAGTTTAGTCTGGTAACCTTCCCAAAATTCCGTCAGCACACTCTTTGTATTAGGAGTTGGGAACGGAATTGTGTGAAGGATACTAGACTATTCAGAGTTCAACAAGGCGGATAATTGGAGAGACAAAAAAGGGAAAATATTTGGTTTTTATATGAATAATATTCTTTGGATGAAAGTAAGCTCCAAAAACAGAATGTGCTATGATATGTTTCACGGTTTTTAAATGCAGCTTCATTTGTAACTTCTAAAATCGTGCAGGATGGAATATGCTCCATTCTGCTACGTTGCATATATGTGGGATTTATTCTAACTTCATTTGTATCTTCCAAAATCGTGCAGGATGGAATTTGCTCAATTCTGCTACGTTGCAACTATGTGGGATTTATTCTAACTATAGTGCTACCTTCTCAAGGTACAGGTACCTTAACTTATATGTAACTAAACTGTAGTGTCATTGGGAAAGACAGGAACAAAACTCTGAAATGACAGTACACTTGCCCATTTTGTAAAACCCATTACCATGATACACAAGAAGAGAAATGATACTTCAAGTCTAATGAATTTCATTATCGGAAGCCACTTGAAAATTAAATTTGTATTTGCATTTCAAAATAACAGTAATAATTATAAATCATTAGTATTATTTGTTTGTTTGTTGTTTAACGAGAATGCCCTGCCGACCGGTCACACTCGCCGTGTGCTCCTTGTCATGATCGGGAAATAACGGAAAAATCCGTCGACAATTCAGTGTGTAAATAATGACCTAACAATTAGTATGAAAAACATTTCGTCAGCATTTGACTCAATGATAAATTGTATTTGCTGACAAGGTCATTGTATCGACCATAGAACTTACGAAATGATGACTTTAAACGAGACTGCTGATATTTTTGTTTCATCAACTTGTTTGTCAATAATTAACCTCGTTTTAGAAATTGTACATACGTAGAGCATGTTCTTGCGTATCGAATCAAATGAGAGATATAAACCCCGTATGCAGGTGATGAAGGTATATTGCTGCATAAGTAAGGGAAGTTGATGATTGAAAAGTTAAAGTCATCACGTTTATCATAAAGCTTGGTTGTTGGATTACCATTAACGTCTTTTTCAAGTAAAATATCCAAATATGAAACAGATGTGTCAGACTCTGTAGTATCTTTCATCTCAAGCTCCCGGGATATATCGTATCGACAAAAGAATGAAAATAACAATTGTTAATTGACAATACGTCGTCGATATATCTAAATGTCGAGTTGAATGCCACAGCAAGTGTTTGCTTCTTACATGTATCACGTATAAGATTTTGGACAAAATTCTGCTTCATATGAATACAAAAATTGGTCTACTAATAACGGGGCGCAATTGGTACCCATAGGAAATAGGAGTAGTAAAGAAAGAGGCTTGGTTGAACATTTACTGGAACCCGCTATGTATCTTTGTTTGTAAGGATTTTTATGAAGTTTTTTTATGAAGTTGAATCCAACATAGATATGGTAATTCAAATTCATTTTGGTTGTTTGGAATATTAAAAATATTCAAAACTGACATATGATTTTGAAGAATTTCTTCCTTAGAAAGGGAACTATCAGTATAAGTTGGAATACCACTTGTAGAATTAAATCCAAGTTCCTCTAAAATACATTTATTATAATAAAATAATGAGCCTTACAAACAAAGACAATGTTGTTACCTGCTTTGTCAGCAGGGACCAGTACGTACTGATCATGTAATCTATCTAATTCTTTTTTCACTTCTGGATTATTGAATACAGAAAGATTGATGGTTCTCATATTGCCCCTCAATCTTTTAATGCTCGATTTTAACATACATCTCATACATTTAATCCATTCTGACAAAGTGTCAAGGTCTTCTTTTTCATGTCTTGTCCGCCTGGCGTAATCCTCTACAGAATCCATAATATTTATGAAATTCCGACGCCAGCTGAAGGATCGGGGTTCCCTAGCTATATTTACCTTTTAAAATTAGTGATCTAAGGTCCTCATTATTAACTATATTTACGTCACCAGTAATAACGTGTCCAGCAGGACTATAGTTGAATAAGTTATGAACTTTTAATTCTGCACATTGTAACCAAGGTAACCCGTATGCAATGCAATACACCAGATTACACAAAGTGAAAATTATTACTTCGTTCTTCTTCGGAAATTGATTATATTTACTTACCAATCTGTTTGGAGCCTTTGAAAAGTCTTTTGTTGTAATTTTCTTTATGATTTCGGGATCTGCTATCAGGAGAGAAGGAATGTGCCCAAGAAAGAGACTACAATGAAATATGAAGATTACAAGACAGTATTCAAGCTTATAAATCCATTCAAACAATACAAATCAGGAGCAGAGCAAACACGGACCTCTAAAACATCAGAAGTGGGATCATATGCCATGGAGGAGTAAGCATCCCCTGCCGACTGGTCACACCCGCCGTGTGCTCCTTGTCATGATCGGGAAAAACGGAAAAATCTGTAGCCAAATGAGTGTGTACATAATGGCCTAACAATTAGTATGAGAATCATCAGTCAGCACTTGACTTAATAGATTGTATTTGCTGACAAGGTCATTGTATCGATTATAGAACTTGCAAAATGATGACTTTAAACGAGACTATTGATATTCTTGTTTCATCAACAATCGGTAAAAGGTTTTCAATGTTTATAATACATTTTGAAAAAAAAAAAACCTTGCAAATAAACTGTATCATATCTTCGGAAATTAATATACTGAATTGCTTGTATTTTATTTTGTACACATGATACAAGTACATGTAAATGTAAAATACCAAAACAGTCTTACCCAACAAGGCTTCCATACTCTTGGATTATCTTCTGGTCAAATCCATGGAGTCCCTAAAGGTACATCGTTGTAGTTGTCATCTTCGCTAGCCAAGGGCTTTTCGGTCTACTCTGCTCCCCATAAATGGGGAGCGGAGTGGGCCAAAAACTCTTGATGGCTTGCGATGATGTGCAGTTGTATGTTTTTAATTTAAAAATATAAATCTTGTATCATTATTATTATTTTTATTTATTAATAGCTAGTTTACAACATTTCAGATCAGACAGGTACAAACCATTTTGAAAGAATTGTGTAAGAGAAAGGAGCAGGGATAATGCTAATACATGTATATAAAAGACGCATATTATTGGGTCCAAAAAAAATTATTCTAATTTACGAAGAACATATTTTTGAAACTGTTTTCTGTTTTTAGTACAGCAAAAATAATACATGGAGATTTTAAAATCAAATTTTTATTTTCCATCGTGATAGTCTTCATTAAAACGATTTTTTAAATTATCATTTCAGGTGACAACTTTACCAAGACTCTGAAATAATTTTTTTAACAAGTATTCCAAATATGTGAAGAAGAATTGCAAATAATGTCTAAAAAAGGATAAAAAAAAATTATGCTACTTTACCGACTGGCAACAGTTTTTTAAAGGTGCTTGGACACAGATTTGAAGTTAATATTTTCTCAAATTTTCTGTATAATTTCATGACTTGTGTGTTGCTATAGCATTTCATACTAAATTATAATAAAAACCTTATTTCATCTCGAAGTTATTAAAACTTCTATTTTCTGGACGCGTTGGATTGACACATCCTTGTGCTATCAAATATTTTAATTTTATTCTTAATACTTAAGAAAAGTGGCAATTTTATTGCGTATTAATGAAAAATATTAAAACTCTAACCCAGAAAATTCAGAGTAGAAATGTTCGAAAGCAAAATCCACTCACAGTATTGTCAGTCCGTGCTCAGTGGTGTGTGCAGAGTTTAACAATTGAACACACCCGGTGAATCGTATACATTAACAATAACAGAGCTCGTGCCCTGTTTACAAAAACAGTTTACGTTTCACGGGTGTGATCAATTTGTTAAACTCTGTACACATCATAGAGCACGGACTGACAATACTGGTGAGACGGTTTTGCTTTCGAACATTTCTACTCTGAGTTTTCTGGATTATAGATGTAATATTTTTCATTTATACATAACAAAATCGCTTCTTTTCTTAAATATTAAGGATAAAGTTAAAATTTGTGTAAGTGCAAAGATGTGTTAATCAAACGCGTCCCAGAATTCGTAGTTCCAATAATTTTCAGATAAAATAAGTTTTTAATTATATTTTCGTGTGAAATGTTATTGCAATATATAAGTCGTGATATCATACAGAAAATTTGAGAAAATATTAAGTTCAAATCTGTGTCTAAGCACCTTTAAAGAGTTTTTTTACAAAGGTTGAATTTTTGTTCCAGTCAATGGGCCTAACAACAAGGAGTGACCTTAACCTAACGTGAAAATATGACACATTTATAGGGTATGGACATCAATATACCACAGTCAGAATTTATTCCTGTCAGTGGGCATGGACATTGAAATACCAATGCCTGAATTTTTTCTGCATGGTCAAGGGTAGAGAAATAGTTTATGGTATTCTCTCGATATTTCATGGAAAAATTGGTTGAAAGGGCTGGTCATTAAAAAAAAGACAACGTAAGGGGAAAAAAGCAAAAGACATATTACGAACAAATGTTTGGACTTGATCAAAAATGCAGTAAACTAATCAAACATTATTTAAAGATGTTTTATTTTAGTTAAAACTTACAAGCTTTTTAATTTCATTAACTGCTCCAATGTATGGGGTATGATTTGGACTCGGGACTCCAAGACGACGCCATAATCCAAACTTCCATTTGATGTATCTAGAAAACAAACATTAAATTGACAGGTTCTCAAAACTTAATACGGAAATTTGATAGAGACTGGGGGGGGGGGGGATTTCATTATAATTTCTAATTTAGATATGATAAATTCTAAATGAACCAGGTCCGTTGGTAGCAATTTCCTTTGGGTATGTGGGGGGGGGGGGTCAGAAAATCATTTACAAGCAAAATAATCTGGCATTAATTATTATAAATAACGTAGCGCAATCGTAAATAAGGTTTGAGTGCACAGCACCTCCCACCCCCACCCACCCACCCACCCCCGGCAGGCACTTATCAGGGGCAGCAGGAAAAATAATTGATAATTAACCTAAATTAAAATTTACCAAACTCCCATTAAAAGGGGGGTTAAATTTTTCATGAAGATTTTTTTTATGCAATTAATTAACAAGGGATGTAAAGTATATATAGTGCCCAAAAAAAACAAACGGGTAATGAACATTTTCAAACTAAATAAACATATCATACTCCGTGTACTGGTATTCAATCTTCAGGTAGTGTTTACTTTTATTTAACTTGTTCATTTTGTACAGCCAGAAGACTTGTCTGATCCACTTAAATTTAACAGTGTTGATAACGAAAAAATAATTGTACTATATTTCGACCCTACTGGAGTTCATCTCAGAGAGGTGTTTGAAGCTATACAAGTACAACATTTCATAATTTTGTTTTGTTACTGAGAAAAATGCGACTGATCAGACCAGGATTCAAGCCTGGCCCCCTGATTCACTAGTCAGGTCCGTCTTATCTTTCTCCTCGCCGGTTACATTACTCAGCTAGACAAGGCCCTTCCCGCTCCAACCAAACTTAAAAGTGTTGGATCCACCACTGTGTACATATAAATATTTTATGTGTGAAAGAATGGTGGTACAACAAATGCAGATTAAAGAACCCCTCTGCTTTGAATCAGTTAATTAATGTTTCAATTAGATGCAATCATGACGAAACATAAAAATAATTCAGACATTATCTTACACTGAGGTAGGTTCAATTACAGGCACTTAATTCATACAGAATCGAGATTTCTTTGAACCAGCGCCTGCAAGTTCAATATACAGGTTAATCGGATATTAGCGATCTACATGTAAATATTGCATTAATGTTTACTGTACTTACATGTAAACAGCAGCCAGAGCAAAAACAATCAGTAAAATCCACCCATTGATGTCCACAACACCCAATACGTCCATGATGTGGCCGTCACTTATTCTAAGTTAATAGGGTCATCCATACAGACTGACCACAGTTTATTTTTAGCATGTTCACCGTGTACAAGTAAACTAACGGGGTTATGCTCTGTAAGAAGTCCTTTGTGATAAATAAATATTCACGTTATTTTACAGGATCTAAATTTTGAAATAGCACCTTCGAATTATACCTTAATTTTCTTAAAATCTAAACCACCCTTTATTCATTTTAGTCTACGTAAAAAGTAGTCCTTTTTGAAAAACAAAACAAACCTTGTAGGCATTTCGAATTATCAGTACTTTCTGTAACCAAAAAAGCTATTTGAGGTATTTATAGGCAACAAAATTTCACTAAAGCAACATTAAAAATTATATATGACGTTTATTTTTTCTTAGAAAAGAGTCTGGCTTGACAATTTTTACTATTAAAAATCTTACTGTGAAAATTAAAAACATGCTCAGAATTTTAAATATGTAGACATCCGGCATCTTTAAAAATATTTCCTGTTTTATGATTGCAAAATATAGAATTAGTGCACATTTATTAATGATTGAGAAGGGAAGATTTACTCATATTCCTAGAGAGAATATATTATGTTTTTTTCTGTCAATTAGAGGTTGAAGATGAGTACCATTTTATTTTGAAATGTTCACTTTATCATGAGTACAGGAAATTGTATATTAAAAAGTATTACTGGTTTAGACCTAGTATGTATAAACTTTTACAATTATTATCAACTGAAAATGTGAGTGAACTAAGTATAACATAGGGAAATTCCTACAGAAAGCAGAAGCACTTAGAGATTCACATCTGTAAACTAAGGATTTTTTCTTTAATATTTGGTTGGGAATATTGCACACAATTAATATTATATTAAAACATATGGAACGCCATAGCTGCCTGAAGGTCATTTTCATTTTATATGAGGTGGTATAACCTTTATGTGAAGTGGTTAAGTCATTATATATAGTGGTAAAATCATTATATTCAATGAAAACTTTATTATATGCAGTGGTTTTATCTTTATATACAGTGATAAAATCATTATATACAGTGATAAAATCATTATATTCATTGATAACTTTATTGTATGCAGTGGTTTTATCATTATATTCAGTGGCAATGTCATTATAGCGAGCGCAGCGAGCGGCGCGAAGCGCCGCTCGTCACTGCGAGCTCTAACGACAACGCCTGGGCGAAGAGAAAATTCAGACTACTGCACATTCATTCAATAGAATTTTTTTCCGCAGTAATTCTGACCCACAATGCATCGCTTCTTGTTCTCGCTGCTAACTTCGTTCACGCGGTGACAACAACTAAAATTTCACAAAAAATAAACTCACCTTAATTAATGGCTATTGCATGCAGATAGTAGATTAATTAAACGTTCTTTGTTAAAATATTTGCACTTTTTAAACTTTGTTTATGGATATGCAGCTAACATACGACGTCATGTGACGTCACAGTCTAGACGTTCCAAATGTCTCGTGCGGTTTGAAGAGGCGGATCTTAAAATGAAGTGAACAATGCGCTCGCCCCAACGGTCGCACCGTCAACATATTATGTAGTGGTTAAATAATGTAATGAAGTGATAGTACCGTTACATTATGCTGTAAAATCATTATATGCAGTGGTTTTTCCATTATATACATTACTGATATCTTTCTGTGATGTGATGAATTCAATATATACAGTACAAACATAATTTGTATGATAAAGCAATCATTACATTGTATGAAACCCGCTGCATGTGGAGTGCCAAGTTAATTTCATTCAGTGCGACACCTTTACATGAAGTGAAAAATCTATTATGTGCAGTACTAACATCATTATATTATATAGTAAAATTATTATATATATTCCTAAAATCATACTTTGCAGTGGTAACATCTTTATATGATGTTGTTAATTAATTATATGATGTTGTTAATTTGTTATATGATGTGGTCATTTCTTTTTCTGCATTAGTCGTTTCATGTTATGCAGTGGTAACTTCTTTATCATCATCTAAACTGGTCCTCTTGCAAAAACATTTTTAGAAATACGCGGAGTTCCAGTTTAAAGAGTGTTTGAAAATAGGAAACCCGGGCAGTGGCAAAATAAAAGCCGGGACTATTCGAGATTTTTCAAATTTCTGATTTAAAATTTTTAGACTCTTTTTTTAGGCTAATGTGTTTTCGCTGTAAAAATTATACTTGGTATTTTAGATTTTATTTACGATTTTTGGTTTCAAGTAAAATTGGTAGGCAGTTTCAATTTTCTGATTTAA